CCCCCCCGCCCCCCCCTCCCCCCACGCCCTTCCTCCCAACACGCCCTTCCTCCCACGCCCTTCCTCCCACGCCCTTCCTCCCAACACGCCCTTCCTCCCACGCCCTTCCTCCTACATGCATGCTTCCTCCTACAGACCCTTCCTCCACCACGCCCTTCCTCTCACACGCCCTTCCTCTAACTCGCCCTTCCTCTAACACGCCCTTCCTCTAACTCGCCCTTCCTCCCTAAGGGATGTACCCAGGCTGCCCAGAACACAAGACAGAGGCTGCGTTACTTGGCTTCTGGTATGGTTTGAGTGTCCCCCAACATTCATGTGTTGTAATTTGATTGTAATAGGATTAAAAAGGAGAAAACTATCTGATTATGGTGTTGAAGGGCTGGACTTTTAGGAGGAGGTTAGTGATTGGGTTCCTACAATTGGGTCCTGGTAGGTTTACAAGGAACGGGAATGAGGCAGAGACCGCGTGGACGCAGTCTGCCTTTCCTCCGCCCCAGCTCCTACCCCCAGCAGGCTGCGATGCCGGTGTGGCCCCTGGACCGAGGGCCTCTTAACTACGAGCTGAATGGACGTTTGTGCTCTTCAATCACCCAAGCCCAGATATGAGCGAGAGAAAGGACTAGGACAGCCTCCAGCCTCCAGTGTGCTCACCTCTCCCCTGAACTCGGGGGGGATCGTCCCACAGTAGAAAGGGAAGTACAAACTGCAGACCAAGGCCTGGAAGACAAGAGTCAGCACATCATTGCTCATTTTCCATCCATTCCAAACCTCCCTGGGACACGGTTTCCAGTGCCCAGAGTGACCTGTGAAGAAGGCGTCATCAATCGGGTGTCAGGTGACAGGGCTGAGGCCCAGGGCAGATCAGAGCCCAGCAGGTCCTCAAAGGTAGGCAAGATTTAAACAGGCCCGATGGGCACCCGCCCTCTGCTTCCTGCTGGGGAAGGACTGTGCTGACTTGGGTCTGCTGCTGACACTGCCCTCCCCACACACCGCCACCAAGGCCAAACAGGCGCCAAGGGACAGTGCTCCCTCACTCGCCTGGCAGGGGCTCTCTGCCAGGAACCCACAGAGCATTCCCTGATGCGGGTCCACCCAGAGGCACCTCCAACAAGAAACCATGTCTTTTCTATCCACTTGGGAAACATGTGCTTTTCCTGTAAGGCTCTGACAAGTCCTGCAGTAAAGCGAGATGCTTAACTTAGATTCTGAGTGTGCCACAGTGGGGCTGGGTAATTTCCCTTTTTTGGGGGTGGATAGTGCTGCCCCGTGCACTCTAGGGTGTTTCACCACATCTCTGGTCTCCACCTGCTAGATGCCCACAGTGCACGCACACACACGCACAAACACACGCAGTGTGACAACAAAAATGCCTCCCGTGTTGACAAATGACCTGTGGGAGAATGCTTACTCCTGGTGACAACCACAGGTTGTCACCCACAGTTTCCTGAGCTCATGAGATACAGAACCTCATCTCCCAGAACACCTGGAAACTTCCTTCCACCCCTGCCTGGAAGACGCAGGACCTGCCCTGACACTGAGCCGCTGGAGATGCAGGGGAACGCCTCCCTCCCACTGCCGCAGCAGTGACAGCAGACAGCGGCCCTGAGCTCCTGCTGTGTACCAGCCCCTGCAGTCTGCGCCATCTGGCAAGGATGCTGGGACACACTTTGGGCCCCAACTGGCTTCCACAGGAGCCCATGGCCATCAGCCCACAGCAGGACCCGTCCCTGCGCTGAGGGTCAGTCATCCACTGCGCTTTCCAGCCGGCACAGACAGAGGTTCCCGCATGGAGCAGGGGGAGGGGGCACCCAGACAAAGCTGACTCTGCACTGCAGACCCCCGTGCGGGTGGCGGGAGAAGGCCCTGGATAGAAGGCCCTGGCTGAAGAGCCTGCTTCCGCTCCCTCCCTGCCAGACACTGGTACGCCTGTGGCCAGGGGCACCTCTACCGCCAGCCTGTCAGCCCTGTCACTATGCTGCGACGGTCCTGCCTCAGCCTCCTGAGTAGCTGGGCTACTGCACCCGGCTCTGGTTCCCTCTTGGTCCTCCCCTGCAGGGTGTCTGCCCGGGCAGCACCTTGTCAGGCCCTCTGGTGCTAGATGGAGCCCCCACCGCCACGGGCCCTCACCTGGATGAGCTCGTCACGGGTGGCGAAGTCAGTGACTATGAGGTTCTGGCCGTCTGGCCAGTGGGTTAAGGAGATGCCCAGCTGCCGGGAGGCCTGGACGTGGCTGTCGGGGGGCAGATGGTCGCGTAGCTGTCGCGTGATGTGCTCGATGGGCGCGTAGGCCGGGTGGAAGATGCCCAGGCTCAGCCGCTCCACCTGCTTGACCATGCTCAGGAGGTGGGTGCAGCAGAAATCTGCAGGGTGCACAGGCGGCCCTCAGCCTGGCCGCAGCCCCCCGGCAGCTCCCCTCACTGAGTGCAGTGGGCGGAAGGTCCCTGCCGCACCAGCGCACACCTGTGTGCCCAGCCCGGGCTTCAAACACTCCACCCCCTTGGGAACAGTCTCCTTGGCTCTGAGCCTCGCATTCCTCCTCTGCATGTGGGGGTAACACAGTCCCCAGCCTTTGGGGTTCCCACAGAAGGAAAGGGGGCCCCACCCACCCAACATCTCAGGGCACAGCTCCAGGCACCAGCTCCCTCTGAGCTCTCACCCCCTCTTGTCAAGAATCGACATTAGGGTGTCCCTCCATCCCCCACTGTCCAGGACGCACCTGTCGACTTGCCACAGACGATGCTGACAGCGTTGAGAGCCCCTGACGAGGAGCCATAGATGCGGCGGGCGCCCTGGAGGAGGCGTGGAGCACGCTGGCGCAGGCACTCTGTCACACCCACATGGTAGAGACCCAGGTAGCCAGCACCTGAGAAGGACAGGTTCCAGCTGCCCTCCTCCTCCAAGAAGCCCATGATGAGTGGGGAACAGGGATTGGTGGCAGATGGGCCTGGATAGGGTGCCAGCCAGATGGGCAGAGAAGGAGCACTCTCTGCTCAGGGACGAAGCCAGGGCAGGCCTTCTCAGTGCCACTGTTTTGTCTGGCTGCCTCCACTCCTCCCATCATTCCTCACTCCCCAGAGGCTGCCTGCTGCCCTCGTGACCCCTGTGCCACCTCTGGGCTGAATCACCGGCAGCCCCAGCCAATGAAGTTCCTGGCAGAGCACCCCACTCCAGGTGTGGGCGATGTCCTGGAACTGCCCTGCACACCTGCCCTGGGTCCAGATGGCGTCATGGTTTCTGGGTGACATGAACAGGCAGGGGGACCAAATCCCCACCTCCTCTCCAATGGTCTTGGCAGGTACCTTATTCCCACACCTAATTTTCCCAGTGAGGGAAGGAGGCAGAGTGGAGAGTGAGAGCTCGAAGCGCCCCGCTGGGCGGCAGCTGTGCCGGCTCATGGACCAGGGAGGAGCACAAGAGATGGGGCCTGGGGCCCCGACGGTCCCACCACCTTGGGGCTTTCCCCAGCCCCTTTCTCTCTGGGGGGCATGTGCGTGAGGACTCATAGAGCCCTTCTGCCCTCCTAAACATAGGGCCCCCCATGGCCTGGCCCTGGCACGGAGCAGCGCTGGCTGCAGGGGGCAGTGGACAGTGGGCTCCAGGCTGCCACGCGGCACCCCACATGGTGTGCTAGGTGCTTACTCTGCTGTCGCCCTCACAAAGCTGTGGGGGGAGCACCACTGTGCCCACCTACAGGGAGGCTGAGGCAGGCCCACAGCCAGGAAGCACCCCTGGGAGACCTCACCGCCACCTGGAACCTGGGCAGCAGCTCTGGAAATGAGCCCGTCAGGAAGGCATGTCAGCGGCCCAGAGAGATTCCCCAGTGTGTTCTCGAGGGAGGCAGAAGAGGAGGCCGCCAGCAGTGTCCTCAGGGGCCGGGTACAGAGGGCCCCAGGGGATGGCTGAGGAAATCAACGGGTGCTCCGTGGGACATCAGAAGGCCTCAGGGTGGCAGGAAAGCAGGCTGCCACATACACAGAGACAGACAGAGAGAGAGGAGAAGTCCCCCTCGGGGGATGGCCACTCCACAATCCCTTCTCCGATACACACAGACACACACACAGACACACACACACACACAGACACTGATACACACAGACACACACACAGACACACACACACACAGACACTGATACACACAGACACACACACACACAGACACACACACACAGACACTGATACACACAGACACACACACAGACACACACACACACAGACACTGATACACACAGACACACACACAGACACACACACACACAGACACTGATACACACAGACACACACACAGACACACACACACACACAGACACTGATACACACAGACACACACACAGACACACACACACACACAGACACTGATACACACAGACACACACACACAGACACACAGAGACACACACACACAGACAGACACACACACACACACACACGCACCCAGTGTGTTCTCAAGCTGCCGGGTCAGGGACTTGAACTATGGAATCGGCCATGTGGGATTCAGCCGCCTTAACCTCCGTGTTACCTGCTGGCCCCAAACAAACGTTTCCAAAGCACTTCTAACATTACCGTGCATTTTTAAATACCGTAGGCATTGCTAGCTGCCCCGGAGGGTGTGTTTGTGAGGGCTGAGGGCAAGGGGCGCGGAGGGGCGCAGAGGGGAGCAGAGGCAGCGAAGGAGGTACTGAGACAAGAATGAGCGTCTTGGTGCTAAGAGGGGGCAGCCGGGAAGAAGCAGGGAGTTGAATCGACCCTGTGGCCCGAGTCCTTCCCGCACACACACACACCCCAGAGAGCAGACCACAGGACTCTCACAGCTCTGCTCAAGGGCGAACAGCGCCTGGAGACCTCGTGCCACGCAGTGGGCTGGGGGCCAGGAGAATCCTGGCGGGGTCTGCAGGCTGAACGCACGCCTTCATGCTTGTTCTCCCTCGCTGGCACCGGGCTAAGCCCCTCCCTAGGTCATCTCGTCTGGGTGTCACAATGACCCCGTGAGGTAGCGCCTTCTGCCGATCCTGTCACAGATGAAAACGC